CTATGATGCACCGTGTGTGGCAGAGGGCGAGGAAGCCGATGGTAGCTCAGATGCACGCAGATTTGGACAGGCGCTACTGGAGTGCGAGCAAAGGACGATCTGCCATAGCTTGTGCGCGGCTGCAGGCGGTGCGTTCTGAGAGCAATCAAGCGGCGCACAAGCATGGAGTGGTCATTGTAGCTGACTGGAGCAAGTATTACGAATCCATCCCGCTGCTGGAGCTGAAGCACAAGTTCCTGCGTCACGGAGCCCCAACAGCATGGCTCAAGCTAGTGTTCAACATGTGGACGAGCCCGCGCGTGATTATATTGGGGCGCAATCATGCGACAACACCGCTGATAGCGAGATATGGGCTTCCAGCGGGTGACGGTTACAGCGATCTGGCGATCAAGGTGCATGCAGTCGATGCCCCGGACATATTTGCGCAGCGTGCGCCGACGGTGGATTTCCAGAACTACATAGATGACACAGGTATCCACATCTCCTCCAGTCACTACGACATTGCGAAAGGTGTGGCGATAGAGAGCACGAAACACTTCGAGGACGCAAGCCGCGCCCTCAATGCAGGCCTCAACCCAGATAAGTTACCCATCATGGCGACGTCCAAGGATCTTGCTCGGGATGTTTGTGGATCTTTGGGGCTGCCGCCCAGCGCATGCAAATCCAGCGCGGCATATCTAGGCATTGATGAGTCTGCAGGAGCTAGGAGACGTGGGCCACATGCTCGACGGAAACAGCGAGGGCGTTTCACCTGAATGCGCAAACGATTTCGAAAGGTCTGAGCTCTCCGAAGGCGATTTAAAGGGGCCCGAAGAGACCCCCTTTCAGGAAGGTTGCCCGTCAAGGAGTTGCCCCTGCCTGCAGCTTCGGGGTGGAAGTCTCGGGTCTCGCGGCCTCGGAGTGGCTCAGCCTTAGGAGAATAATGGCCCACAGCAACGGCCCAAGTCACGGAGGTGCCCCATTGAGGGCCAAGGTCGCCCTGCTCGGAGATAGTAGAGGTAGGTTAGCTGTGGCACCAGCAACCCGATGGTGTCGAATGATCTGGACCGCTTCGCGGCGCCCTGCGCTATCTCTAGTCTCGCGAGCTGAGCTTCTCAAGCTCCGGGATCTAACCAAGCCTGTTGAGTGTGAATCATGGAATAGATCCCAGGGCCCGCTAGCTAGAGCAGTAGTATGTCGTAAGAGGGCTGGGTGGCGAGCGGATGGCCCCTTGAAGTGGTTTGACCACAACGGCCTGGAGGTCGAATTAGAGACCACCCCTCCGCCCCTCCTCATGGACATGATGGGGCAAGGTTTGCGGCGTCAGCGTGAGTTAGACCTGGCGAGGCACCTAGGTTTTCCTGAAGGCTCTCGCGCGACCCTTGATCTCATCAGGGGCACGGTAGCACCGAAGGCCAGCATACTTTCGAGATACCAGAAGTATTTAATACAAACATGCGGATGTGGTGGACTGTGGACGAACGATAGGGTGATGCGTGCTGGTTACGTGTGTGACGGGTTGTGTGAGTGCGGTCAACTTGACACAGTCCACCACAGATTATATAGTTGCCAGCTCCCTCGTGTAGTAGATGCGCGCGAAGCGTCAGAGGTGCCTGGCACAATCCTCAATGCTTCTCGCGATAACCTTAATTTACAAATTTCCACGAGCGGTGTTCATGTGTATGCCGACAGTGAGTTGTCCTGCCCCTTGGTTTTGTCTGAGGTTTACCTGTATGACAGGGAGGGCAACGCACTAGACATGCAGCCTGAAGAAATAGCGAGTTTGACCAGTTCAGCGCCGTTGCGGTTGGCTTCGGACGGGTCCAGCAGTAGACCACGGATTAGGCCACTGCAGCGCGCTGCCTGGGCTGTGGCTGTGTGCCCTGATGCTGGCGAGGATCCTGTGGCGATCGTCAAAGGCGTCGTCCCAGGGTCCTTGCCGCAAACACCAACCATGGCTGAGCACGTAGGGATTGCAATTTGTAGGCAGATAGCTACGCGACCAGCGGAGCTCGGGGCTGACTGCACGGCGGCCATACGCCTAGCTCAGGAGGATGTGAATGCCCAGCTTGCGTTTGTCAAACAAGTTCGCTGGCCTTCGTTGTTTTTGCGCGGCAGCTCGGGGGAACCGTTATGATTCACACTATCCGTCATGTAAAGGCCCATCGTGAGAGAGAGCAGATCGAAGCCCTAGAAGGGGTCGAGCGGATTTTTGCCGTAGCCACTGCGGCGGCGGATCGATATGCTAAGGACGGACTCGGTCTGCATCCAAGCCCCTCGCCTGCTTTTTTTCACAAGAGCTGGACCTAGCTGGCGAAAGGGCAGGACATTTCATGAAGCTTGCAAGCATGGTGCTGCCTCTTTTTGAAAATGAAGTTCGTTGGGCAAGGCCTCATCGAATTTTCTCTGGGCGGTCACGGCGAAAGGTGTCGTGGCATAAGTGGGAGTACGGCCCACTAGGCACTCAATGCACTCTTTGTTTTCGAGTGCTCAATTGCCCAGTGAATGAAGCGCCCATAGACGGATGTTCAGGGCTGCCATCCTTCCTCAAGAAGCTGCTCCATGATCCCTTGGGACACACTCTCGTCGCCATGTCGGGGACGCTTTCTCGACAAGCTGGCGATGTTTCGGCGTCGCGTCGCGATGCGTCTAAGGAGCAGATATTGTGCCTTCGTTGTGGGGGTTGGTCCCAGGGGAGGGGAATTAAGCTCAGTCGGAGTTGTGAGGCCCCCACGCGTAAAGGGTTGGACGTCTTGGCTGAAAATCGGAAGGGTCATTGCCCGAACCCGCGTGTTCGGGCCTTTGTCGATCGTGCGGTTCCGTTCCAGAGGCTGCGCCTCTCCGCCGACCCTCCGTGTCAGGACGCCCCCACCGCGGTGAGGACTTCATTATCCAATGCTGATGCTGCCCCTCCCTATGAGCAGCGAGTGGCGGCGCTATTAGAACGAATTCGTATCAAAGAGTTGGCCAGAGAGGCCCAATCCAAGGGATAAGTTTTGGGCCTCGCCTGTGGTGTAGGTTATATCCCTGTTAAGTTTATGCCCGTATGTTCACTTGCATATCTAGTGCTGCGCACCCCCCCGTCCGCGGGCACTTCCGTTCCGTTCTCTCCTCCTCCTTCTCCCCTCCTCCTCCTCCCTCCTCCTCCTCCTCCTCCTCCTCCTCCTCCTCCTCCTCCTCTCCTCCCTCCTCCTCCTCCTCTCCTCCCTCCTCCTCCTCCTCCTCCTCCCTCCTCCGCCTCCTCCTCCTCCTCCTCCTCCCCCTCCCCCTTCCTCCTCCTTCCCCTCCTCCTCCCCTCTCTCCTCCTCCTCCTCCTCCTCCTCCCCTCCTCCTCCTACTCCTCCTCCTCCTCCTCCTCCTCCTCCTCCTCCTCCTCCTCCTCCTCCTCCTCCTCCTCCTCCTCCTCCTCCTCCTCCTCCTCCTCCTCCTCCTCCTCCTCCTCCTCCTCCGGCGGCCGCCTCGCGTCTCCTGGCCCGCTTCTTCGCCGACCATGGCCTCTCCGTCATGGGCCGCCGCTGGTCGGCCGCGGCGCAGCGCATCCGAGCGCCGCGCGCAGCCCCTGCACTCGCAGGCACGCGCCGCATAGCAGCTGCTGCGCGGCATCCCTCATGCCGCACAAGGGGGGGGCGCCAGCCGTCCAAGCTGCTCGTAGTGAGTAGTGGGTTGCTTCGTCCTCTTGCTTCTCCTGGCGAATCTACTGGTGCTGCTCCTTCTCCGTGCCAGGACCGAGGTAATGACAAGAGCACCAACACTGACACGAAGAAGGATGCGGCTGTCGAGGTTGCGGCCTGCGTTCGGCTGGCGAGCCGTGGGCTGCAAGCGCAGACCCTTTGGCCTCTTCAACCGCTTCATCGTTGACAGCTTGCCGCGCTACCGGCAAGGACAAGGGCAAGAGCAAGGATAAGGACGGCCCGCCTCTTGATTCTGCTGCCGAAGAGCGCGATGCAAACAAAAACTGTCGCCTATGAGTGCCGCGATTTTGCGCGCATTCGCCGCTTCGCCATGCAGGGCGTGGCGGTCCGGTGCGCGCTGTCCAGCAATTGCGGGTAGCCGGTCGTTGTCGTTCGTGCGTCTGTCGTCCTCGTCCTCGCCGTCGCCGTTCGTCGTCGCCGTCTTGTCTGTGGCTGCCGCTTTTCTCTGCGCCTGGACCTCGCGCCCTTTAGGGGCACGCGCGGGGCCAACCTACAATTCTCCTCCTCCTCCTCCTCCTCCTCCTCCTCCTCCTCCTCCTCCTCCTCCTCCTCCTCCTCCTCCTCCTCCCCCTGCTCCTCCTCCTCCTCCTTCCTCTCCTCTTCCCTCCCGCTCCTCCTCCTCCTCCTCCTCCTCCTTCTCCTCCTCCTCCTCCTCCTCCTCCTGCCCATCCTCATCCTGAGTACAGTTATAGTCATGGTTGTTACCCTCCTTTGCACCTCGTCATCGTCATCACCACCCCCTGCTCCTTTCCGCCCTCCAGATAGTCATCCTCGTTCTGCTCTCCCGCCTCAACTTCCCTTTCATCATCATCCTCCACCTCCCCCTCTTCCACCCAGTCACCATAATCAGCATCACCATGGTCATGCGTACCTTTCCTGCTCATTATTGCCACCCGGCTCTGTTGTTTCTTTCTTTGCCGTTGCCACTGATGACGCGTGTTCGCGGTGTGTTCTGTCTCGTCGATCTCGCGTCACTGCCGCCGCGCCGCCGGCCGCCATCACGATGACGTGTGCGGCAGCATGCCGCGCCCCCCTCCCCCCTCGCCCCTTTTTCCTCATTCTCTCCATCCTCCTCCCTCTCCCTCCATCCCTCCTTCCTCCTCGTCCCCCCTCCTCCTCCTCCTCCTCCTCCTCCTCCTCCTCCTCCTCCTCCTCCTCCTCCTCCTCCTCCTCCTCCTCCTCTCCTACCTTACCTCCTCCTCCCCTCTCCCTCCTCCTCCTCATTCTCTCCCTCCCTCCTCACCTTCCCTCCCTCCCTCCTTCCTCCTCGTCTCCCCCCCGCATCTGTTGCCTCCGCCCGCGGACCGACCCCAAGCCCCCCCCCCCGAGGAGGGCCAGGAGGAGGGGCCCACCGAGTGCTGCCTCTGCCTGGAGGCGCACCCGCCGGGGCGGAGATCGCGACGAGGAGGAGAGAGAGGCACTCCTCCTCCTCCTCCTCCTCCTCCCTCCTCCTCCTCCTCCTCCTCCTCCTCCTCCTCCTCCTCCTCCTCCTCCTCCTCCTCCTCCCCTCCTCCCCCTCCTCCGCCCCCTCCTCCTCCTCCTCCTCCTCCTCCTCCTCCTCTCCTCCTCCTCCTCCTCCTCCTCCTCCCCCTCCTCCTCCTCCTCCTCCTCCTCCTCTCCTCCTCCTCTCCTCCTCTCCTCCTCCTTCTCCTCCTCCTCCTCCTCCTCCTCCTCCTCCTCCTCCTCCTCCTCCTCCTCCTCCTCCTCCTCCTCCTCCTAGCCGCCGCGAGGGGTTCAGGAGCGCGCTCGGCGATACCGAAAGCGACCCTTTTCTTCACCCTCCACAGGCTCGCCCCCCAGCTAGTACCAGGCCAGGCGAGGGGGAGGCGTAGGCGGGCACCACAATTACACACATGGCATGCGCATTCTTACGTACAACCCACTAGCCGCCAACACAGTGGAACGTCTTGTGGATATTAGCGACGAACTAAAGGATTGGGATATAATACTACTTTGTGGAACACAGGAATGGGCAGGTCCCGAAGCTGTGCGCAAGGTAATGCTACCCAACCACTGGTGTCTGCGAATTGGGGCCAGGAAGGGGAAATACATCACGAAAGCATGTGGGTTGGCCATTCTAGTACACAGACGAATGGACCAAAATTGCTTGCGTGAGATTTACACCCCACCCACGTCGCTGCAAGGAAGAGTCGCAGGAGTGAAGCTAGCCACGAGTACCATGGATCTGGCCATCTTCCCAGTATATTATGCCCCTGTGCACACCAAACGGTACGATGAGATAGGAGCACGTATAGGGGACTGGTTGGAGACCACCACTGACAGATTGGGTACAAGGACGTTCATTGTGATTGCAGGCGATGTGAACAGCGACTTTGGACTACACCGATCAACAGACGGAATTGTACAAAAAACTATCAACAGCTGTTTAGGGACCTACGCAAAGACTATTGAAAACGAGAACGGTACCGCGTTCAGGAAGATGTGCCAGAGCAGCGATCTCAGCATTATTACCACCAACTACGACACTGGGCCCACCTATTTCGGTCCAAGAGGGGGGACCAGTAAAGTGGACCACATTGCCCTCCCAGCAGGTGCCACCACCCTTGTCCAACGGTGTATGGTGCTACACGCATCGGGGAAGCGCCTCCAACTTATAAAGTCCAGAGGAGCTAGAGACCACCTCCCAGTAGGAGTAGTACTCGACCCGAGGATCCGACACCAGGCGGGCAGGAGGCGGCACCAGCGCGAGTACCTGGACAGGGACGCGCTGATGAGCTGCCTACGGAAGGGAACAAGGAGGGAAGCATGGCAGGAGAAGGTGGAGGAGGAGCTGAGGAAGGTAGAGGAGCAGGAATGGCAGGTCCTCCTCGAGCAACCCACTCCAGACCGAGCGTGGCAGAGATACGGAGATGCGGTACGCACAGCACTACACGACACATTCGGGAAAAAGAAGATGGCCCCAGACCCGTGCGTGGAAGCACTCAGGGAGACCAGGATGACACTGCTGCGCCAACGCCGAGAGCTACGCCACGCCCTGGGACCGAATATCGACGATGAGGAGCTTGAGAACACCCGACAAAGCCTCAAAGAAGTCACGGCCACGCTGAAGAGGATCCGAGACGGCTACGAGAAATCCCGAAAGGAACGACTCGTCGAGGAAATCTGGGAGGCGTCAGAACGTGGCGACTTTGCGCAGATGCACAGGCTGAGGATCGAGTACCAGGCGAACGGACGAGGCCCCAAGAAAAGGTACTTCTTCGCCCCTCGGACGCACTGGGACGCTGAACAGTGGACCCAGGAACTCTCGAAGTCACCACACGAGGGGGGGCTGGCAGCACAGGTACTGGATCTGGAGGAGCAACTCCGCGAGCACGAGCACTGGCACTCCGAGCGACTCCCACTCCCGATCGATACCGACCTCCGACATCGAGCAGAGCAGGACGGGAGAGACATGCTGAGGTATTGCAGGAAAGCCAAGAAGCGTCGAGCATGGCCAGAGTGGGGGCTCCCTGTTGAGGCGACTCTACTTCTGCTTGATCCCACGGTCAACATGAAAGGCGCCAATGAGCGCGGTGATAGTTACAACGCGCAGGCGATCAAGGTTGAAAGAGACGAAGAAGAACGCCACAGGTTCACGATCGAGCACCGACTCCAGCGAGGCAGAGAGCTGTTAGAGAGGCTAGGCTGGAAAGGAGGAGGGCTAGGAGTACGAGGAGGAGTGCCTACCGACCCTGCTATGCTTACAAACGACTACACAGTAGGACGTGCGCCGAGAGCTGGACTGGGTGTTGCGAAGAATGACGGGCAGGGAACACATGTAGCAAGCAGGAGGCTAAACGACATCTTGGTGATGATACGTGCTACCCAAACCACCCCCCTCTCTTGGCACAGGTCGATGGCATTCGGAGCAGACAAGGCGAACGGTAAGCACGGTATTTTGGGAAAGCGCATTATGCACGCGTACTGCAGCACGAGCATGGCATGGCATGCAGGCATTCATCGCAGGGGTCAGTTGGAGCAGCACGCAGCATGGGCGCAGGGGGGGCTACCACACCGGTGCAGAGAGAATGCGATAGCGACAATACTCACCACAAAGTGGAAGTCCGACCAGCTCGGATATAGCAGCGTGCACACCAACTACGACTGCTCGAACGCATTTGCGTCCACCAATCGCACCCTCCTCCAAGCTGTGGCCTTTAAACAGGCTGATGAATGGGACCAACCACATGCAGTAGGAGCAATCGAGAAAACTGCCATGACCATAGAGGCTGCGGATCAGACTATTAGTTACGAAAGCACCACAGGCGCCCAGATGGGCTTCACGACAGCACCACGACAGTTCAACGATGCTTACAACATATACGTTGCCCAGTGGAACGAAGACCTGCGCACGGAACCGACACAACGATTGCACGACACACCCCACCCGATATTTGGTAGTATACAGGACCTCGGAATTAACACGTTCATGGATGACATCACTAAGACGCATATAATCCCACACCAGGCTAATGCAGGTGAAGTCACCTACCAGGTCAACACAGCCACAGGGAAACTAGAAAGCAAGCTGGAGGCTGGGAACTGGAAACTTAATGCGGGGAAGACCAACCACCTCCTGGGACTACGAGGCACAGGGAGCTACGGTACCACAAGAGCCCTAAGACGTAGCAAGCAAATCCAAGGCACACCACTCCGAGAAATGCGAGTGCTAGGACCATACCTCCCATCCGACCAAGGCCTATCGGGAGAAGTGCGTCGCCGCTGCGACGCGATACGCCTAGCATGGAGACAGGGTGGCACTTTTTGGGGTTCACGGTGCAATTACGACGTCAAACGCCTCATGTTTATCGCATTTGTACTGGGTGCAGGGCTAAGCGGACTCACGGCCATGGTACTTCCAACAGCCAGCACTGATGCCATCGACGCCCTGCTAGGAAAATATATGAGGACACTGGCACGAGGAGCGATGTCATGGACCAAAGCAGATGGCAGCATTCGCTGCAAAACCACGGCGCAGGTATTCAAATACTGGAGAATGGACCGAGCTGCCACGGCACTACGTGTGCGACGACTCAAGTGGTACCAGAAGTGGGCACTACACCCCCAACAACATGCGAACGTGGTTGCAGCTATATTCGGGGACAGCACTATGGACAGACTGGCCAACATTCGACGCCTGTTACCAGGCGATAGGATAGGGCCAGACTCCACACCCATGGCGAAACAATACAAGGAGGACCTCGATGCGCTATCACTTATCGACGAGAATATGCACGAATGGTACACACGCAGGCGGTCAGACCTACACATTCTTACACCTGGCACGGAAGAATGGCAACAATGGACGACAATGGACCCCAGCATACTCAGCAGTGCCTCCAGGACCTGGAACAACCAAGCAGGAGACATTGATGAAGGCAGAGCAGACGACCAAATAGCGAAGGCCTACTGGTGCGACTACCCATGTGAAGACGACGACGGACAAACACAATGCTGTGGGAAACGCTTCACGACAGCACAGGCATTACAGGCTCACAAAAGGGGGGCGCACAACTTGAGGACTTTACTATCGCAGATGATTATTACCAATCAATGCCCCTGGTGTTGGAGCACATTCAATACAAGAAAAACGGCAATTGATCATGCACACCGCTCGGCTGACAAGTACGGAGTGTGTCACATTGACTACAGCAAATGGGCGCACGAAGTACAGGCCCCACCAACACTAACATGCAGCTTATGTGGCCATGAGGCTCAAACCCTCCGCTCCTTTCAGTTGCACGTGAGAGAACATCACGAAGGCCCAGCAGACGTTGTACAGCGCACGTGCGATGGCCCTCCCTGCAGCAGAGTGGCAGCTCGCAGGGGCAGAGCCCAAGCGGGTAGCTGCCAAGAGAGGCACCGCCGAAGCCGCAGTCGACGGAGGCAGCGGGACGAGCAGCGGCGGAGGCGGCAGGCGCCCTCCCAAAGGTTCTGGCAAGGGAGCAGAACCGTCCGACGGCAGCTACGAGGACAGGCTGGCGGTGACGATGAAGCTCTCGCTGCGCAACGCGCAGGACATTCGCGAGCTCTACCACACCACCTCGGACTTCTGGCTCCTGCCAGCATCGTCGCCCCCGTTCATCGCGGGCATGGAGGCCGCCAAGCAGTATGGACAAGCAGTACGCGCAGCAGGCAAGAAACACGGTCTCGGACCCCCCCACGTCCACATCTGCAGCGCCATGCTCAGGGAGATGTACGAAGCGCTGGACGGCGACACAGGGAGCACCACCGAGAAGACAGCCAAGGGCGTCATCCGCGAGTACATCGAGGCGACGACGGGCAAGATTGGACCACAGATCATACAAGAAAAAGTGCTCTCCTGGAAAGTCAACGAGGCCTACAAGCGCGACGACCTGGACGAGTCCGAGCACAAAGGCAAACTGCAGTACACGCTCAACCCGCTCCCGACCCTCGTGCCGCACCTGATGTCACAGGAGCCAGGCGAGGCGGTCCTGACCATGGCGAGGGGCTACTCGCCGACGAAGCTCAAGGAGGCCTTGACGACGGCGATCCCGGTGCTGAACGGCGTCAAGGGGCAGGGAGCGGCGCCCAAGAGCGCCCTGGAGAGGGCGGTCGAGGCGAGCCTACGCAGGCGCTGAGGTCGGGTACAGATCACTACCGGAGCTCGACGGCACCAGCCGTCCCAACGACGGTAGGCCTCGGTACGTCCCCACCTCTGGCCTCGCCTCCGTGGCCTCCTCAGCGAGCGGAGGAAAAAATTGCCCATGAGATTTCTCTCGACCCAGCACGTTTTGGGAAGCTCACACAACAGCGTGCGGTTAGTGAACGGTTTAATGAATTATACAGACTCGCATTGTCATACAGGGCGAGGAGAAGGAGAATGATGCAAGGTTTGGGCCTAGAGGAGCCTCAGCACCCCGAGAGACCCACAGGGAGCTCAAGCAGTAAGGAGGCCCACGACACGACCGAGCCATCATCACAGCAGCCACATCATAAAGGACCCGACGAGACCCAGTAACCTCCAGAGGCCCCCCTTGGGCAGGGATCCTACTAGGATGCACGTTGTTTCCCGACTCTCCGACCTCCGACCCCAGCAAGAAGTGGTGCCCCACCGTTCTTGGTTACCGTTGCCACCTACTGGTTCAGACGGCCTCTCTTCTCTTTGTGACACCGCACCTTCCACGATATTATTTTGGCTCAACCAGCAGCAGCCTCCGACTTTCGTTTCTTGTACACAGAGCAGCATTGGCGGCATTACTTCTCCGACGGCTGCTGAATATGGCGAAGTCTTCAGCATGGTGCCCCGCAGATTGCGGAACAGAGCAAAGCATACCCATGCCTCAGATCTCGTACTTTGATGTAAGATATGCAAGCCCCATGGGAAGACTCATCATGGGCAATGAACGGTTGAGAACTACGAAGCCGCTGCTTGAACAACAAGTCCCAGCTGTTCAGGAAGCTCTGAAGGCACTGACCAGACAGCATGGACTTATTCGATTAGCACTACAGCGCCTGGCTCCACCAATGGAATATGATCTGGAAGAGCAGCTTGAGAAGCAAGAAGTTGTTCGCAAACTCGAGAGCCAGGCTCTTCAGGTGCAGAATGCTATGAATGGGCTGAAGTACACATTGGGCATACTTCGTAATGAAGATGAAGCCATGATCCCGCCTTGGCCAGATGCGACCAACTATGTGTATGAACTGGCCACGCATGAGCAGCATGGCAACGACGGGCCTCCCCAAGCAAGGCCATCAGAGTAGGTATTAGTGGTTTTGCACTGACTCATTACTTCACTGACTCAGTACTTCATTGCATTGACTCATTACTTACGACAGTGACAGATGGTTCCTGCAGTGACTCATTACTTCATTGACTCATGACAGATGATTGCGGGGAGCTGGTTGGGAGTTGCTACAAACACCGACATAGGACTGTGGTGCATACGACGGCTGACTCACAAATGTGATTTTTTCTCCCCAGAGGACTGCAAAGTGACGAGGGTCAGATGATCCCCCATCCACTCCCCATGCCACATTGAATGAGAGAGTCAACTTTTATTTTGAGTATATCCCATCATTGCCCGCGCACAGGAAGGGCAGGAGATGGGCAGGGGAGGCCGCCGACCATGACGGCGAGCGGCTGCAGCAGCCGCCTCTCTCTCTTCTCTCTTTTGTTGCTGGTTGGTGCTATTCTTTTGCCTCTGTATCTACTTTTCGCCGTCGGACTAGACGGTCCGAGAGCGCTTCTTGAGAGGCTCCCTCGCCCAGAGGGTCAGGGAGCTCTCCTCCGCCCGCGAGGGCAGAAGTGTCCCCCTCCCCCACCCACTCGCCGAGTTGGGAGGACGACTTCGGGCCCCTCTCTACTTAGCGAAGGGGCGGGGGATGCGGGGGGCATTTCTACCCCACTTCGAGGTCAGCGGACCTCGCCGCTGATCCGTCTGCCATGCAGGGGCGGACTGGCCCCCCTCCTGGCACGCGGTGGCAGGCCCCACCACGAAGGTGGGGGGCATGCTGCACAGCTCTTACGCAGGGGTCAAAGGCCTCTCGGTGCTCCAGAGGCTTGCGAAGACCCCCAAGCGCCTGACCCTGACCCTGACCCTCCTCCTCCTCCTCCTCCTCCTCCTCCTCCTCCTCCTCCTCCTCCTCTTCCTCCCCTCCCCCTCCTCCTCCTCCTCCTCCTCCTCCTCCTCCTCCTTTTCCTCCTCCTCCCGTCCTCCTCCTCCTCCTCCTCCTCCTCCTCCTCCTCCTCCTCCTCCTCCTCCTCCTCCTCCTCCTCCTCCTCCGCCTCCAGGAAGGCGGAGGACGGGCCAGCGGAAGGCGGAGGGCGGAGGACGGAGAGCGTCGGGTGCGATGATGGGGGCAAAT